ATTTATTTCAAAAGCTGGATAGTGAAGGTATCCCGGCCCCTTTTCGTTTTAGCTCCGTAGTTAAGTATTAATATCATTTTTCAAGGAGTTTCATCTTTATTGTTCTCATAGTATGCTATGAAGTACGAGCTTCGTCATCCAGGTAAGGTTTCGAACTATAGTAAACTTTTGCAGGTTTACTTGCTCTTAATAATATACTATTAATTACAACACTACGTCAGATGTGTTATATTCAGGGAGCATTTAAGAAATAAATAAATAAATACATACATAATAAATAAATAAAGAAAGAATACAATTAATTTCATTCCTATTTCAAGTATGGTAAAGCAGGTAGTTTAATATACTTCATTCATCTTGGTATGAAGCATTAAATGCAGCATCAGCTGCAACAACAAAACATACAACAGCAACAACAACACGATTTCTTAAGCAAGTAGGTACAAGTTATAATGTTGATGCTGTTCAAAGACGCCGCCAAACGATGTGGACAGCCAATCAGCATTGAAAATCGTTCTCTATTACAGTTGAATATCCGAAGCACAAATAAATTTTTTCTCCATGTTATTGGTATGTGCTCGTTGTTCAATAATAAAGTTGCATATTTTGTGAAAAAGTAGAACCTTATGCATAAATTTACAAAATGATGCCAGGTCTGAAATTCTTGAATGTTTGTAAGTTGCAACAAAGACTATAACGTCTGGTCGATTCAAAATAAAATGGATAACAAATAGAATTGAAATGATTGGTATACTTAAAATAAATTTCAGACAATATGTGCTGAGAATATACCCATTTAAATATTGGTACTAATTGCATAATGTTCGAATAATTTTTAGGACAAACTGTTCTGCAGAGATCTCCCCTAACAGGCCGTAACGTAACCGGTTTGTTGTACTTTCTTAACGGTTGAGTGAGAACCGCTTCTCTGATAGTGGGCGTGGTTTAGGCTTTGTAACTTGCAATTAAATGATTCGACAAGTGATATTGATCAAAGTTGTCCTGGTTTCCTTCTACCCCGTCAACGAAGACTAAATGTTAGCATCTGGAGCATAATATCAAATTTACTATGACAATTTAAGGCGGGGCCGAACTTCAACAGAGGCGAAGGAAATGAAGTAAGTGACACTGCCTCAGTTGTCACCTCTCTCAACGGTTAAGTGTCAGAACGATCGACTATCGACTGGCTCATTGGCACGTTATTTATTATGTAAAAAATTTAGATAATGATAAAAAATATGATATTCAAACATGGCACTATCACTTCAGTTAAACGTTTATTCTTATCTCTTAAAGCCCTGTGACATGTTGTACATCATAAAAGCTATTTTTATTAGATAATTTAAAAACAAGGTGACTTTGTTAAAACAAAAAATACACAAAATTAAGTCTAAAATTTCCCCATTGCTGTATGGACAAATGCTTTTCTACTTGTCGCCGCTTGCAAGCGGCGTCTAATAAAAACACTGTTATCCACTAGACGTGCACGAAACATGAAATATTCACATCATCTAAACCTCAAGTATTACACTTCTCCAAAACATCTGTTACGTAATCAGTATCAAAATAATCAGTCTGATTCAAACAACACATTTTAATAGTTAAACATAAACTATAGATGTTATCTATATGAGTATATACACTGTCTGACTTTATTTAACCGTTAATTGTCTTAAGAAATGACGTAAGAAGACAGTTATCTTTATATAAAAATGTAATAGAATTTGTATTTCAAAGTCATTTCTACACAAAAACTATAAAACATAGTTCGTTTCCTGCCAAGAATTTATCTTTCGCTGAGTCATACATATGTTGTTTATATCTTACATCACTGGCAGTATAAACTAACACAGAGAGCTTCCCCAGCCTTTAGGCTTATCAGTAAATCTTCACTGAACAAACTAAATTGTTTCCTATTCAAACCATCAATCGAGTAAACATAAAGTGGGTAACTTGATTATTAGTTTAAGGAACATGTTTTTCAATTTATAATAATCTAACTAGTACGACCAGAATAATAAATAATACAGTCAGGCATGTCTTCTAAGACTCACGTTGAATATGACTCCATCTCAAAACTGTTCAAATGTACTTGAGTTTACTTATTTGTTTAGGGAAAATAACTGGTTTTGACATGTTGAACTGTAGAGAAAATGTATTGAGATGAGAAGCTAAATATAGTAAGGAAACACCTATGTTCAGAGCCTTTTTAATGAATTGCGTTTGAATTTAATATCTTATGATTTATTATATTGTTGTAAAGCAGACGACCGATGAAGACATATCTGTAATATTATGTAATGCAATGTTTTGCCTTTAAAAAAACTACAATGTATGCATTAAGGTTACTTGTGTTATAATAATGATGTTTGAAAAAAAAGTATTTTAATTCAATTTGACGTGTTCAAACGGACGCAAAAACTCACTCTGCTGCCATAAAAACCAGAGTGTTAAAATACATTTTAGCGTACTGATATATGTGATACATGTACACATAGGTGCCGGAACGGACCACTGGTTTGTAATAAGGCATTACAAATCATTCACTTAACCGGCGGAAAATAGTAGCACGTGTTTCCGCTAGCGATAACAATTAAATGATAGCTTTCTCTCACAGTGATATTTCTCAGAATTAATGAATGAAAATGTAAAGTAGGGTATTGTATGACAAGCGTTGGTGGTATAACAGAAATATTTTCATCAAAGAGAGGGAAATTGCACGCGCGTCTGCTAAACAAATTAATGCAGGAAAAACACCACTGATGTTTTACAAGGGGAACTATTTAGACAAGTGTATTAGGATTCATTTTCATGTATAAAAAAGAACTTGTGTACACATTTTAATAACCGTCGGAGATAAATAGGCTACTCGTTGTTTTCTTTCGACGATTAATTACTGTTCCTGTACATGTACATGTAGATCTTTCCTGTTAAAACCTACAATTTCTTTATTTTTTCTTATTTTTTAAAGGTACAAATATATTACAAGCAAATGATGAATAATGAATAACTGGTTTATGTCTAGAGGAAGTGTTAACATTTGATACACAGATTTTATCATAAAGCATAAATTGACAAAATTACCTGCCATGATCTTGTCTTGAAATAGTTGTTAACTCCTCAATTCACGTACAATGGAATGGTGCAGAGAGACAAGGTTATCGCCGAGTTTGATGTAAAGAAATGCAAAAAGTCCGACATACAAATTCTGGTTTTATCCCTCAGTTCGCATCGTATTTTATATACTTTTATATATAAACACTACATCTAATCTATCATTAACTATACGATATTAATTTATGATAGGTGTAAAAGAAAAAAATGAAAAGAAACACCGCGTTTATGTCCTATAATCCAGTGCAAGTGTACACAAAAGAGAAAGAAAAAAAGAAATTTTATCTGCACATTTCGCACGTGTTAAGAATGGGAGAGTTATACGAGAGTTATACGCTGGTAGTAAACGATTACAGGTAATCATATCGTATCAGACGCTCGCAGAACATTCCAGGCACAGAGCCTTTGAACTAATCATCTTAATATGTATGTTTTATTTTTGTCTCTTACGAGCGTTCTAACAAAATTTCGGCTGCTGCAAGCCGAATGCAATCATATTTCACTAAAATTACTGCATGTTATATGTAAATTTTGTCCAGAAAATACAAGCCAATTTCTTGAATGTACTTGTCCATCTTTCAATCGGGATAAAATCATTCATCACTTTTCTGCCAAATAGAAATTACTAAATGAAACGCGAGCAGCAGTGCAGACCAGACTAGTGTTTTCTTGTGTGTGCGGTTTTCTTTTTCGTTTTTTGGCACTGGTCACATGGATAGAACGAGTTTCCGTCAGCAAGCATGCTAAGGCTTTCATAAATAAGTATTTTGTATCACAACATATTGCACAGTATTTTATCTAAAGCAAACGCATAACAAATCTTACAATTGCATGCATTGTAACCAATCTTTGATTTTCTTGATCATTCCTATGAAGCGAAATATTTACTTGTATGTAGTTTCAAGTGCAGGCGTAAAATTATTTGTAATCTAATATGTTTCTTATTTCGTTTTTTCATTTGCCGCATGATATAACAGTAGCTTGTTTCAAATGCAAATATATATCAAAATTCAATGACCAGGAATTGAGATTGTTTCTATTTCTTCAAGTCAAGCCACTTTTTTTAAGTTTTAAAGGGGGACATTGCCATTTTTTCATTGCCTCGTTTTGAATTTTTCATTCATTATTCTGTAAATGTCCTCAAAATTAATACACAAGGCAGTCACGTGAACAAATCTTTTCTCATTATAAAGTATTATAGGATGGTTTTCTAACCTGACCCACATGGAGCAGGATAAAGCGTAAAGATTTCAAAAAAGTTGTCACAATGACCTTTGAAAAAGTCAAAGAACATGTCAAATGAATGACTTGGACTTGTTTCAATCAAACAATATCCACAATATATGTTATTGCAACTTCCAGGATTTGTTCAAGTCACAAAACTTGTTTTAAAACTACTCGGTGATTCTGTCGACTTTTAAATTTTGTTCAATATAATATATAGATATATTTACGCTTCAAACCCAAAATATATGGAATGAATACGAATTTTCATGCTGGGATTAAAATGTCATTTTAGAGTGATTTGAGTTCATAAGATCATCTTGATAATTTTTTTATTATTTTGCCTGAGTATCCCTTAACATGATATTTGTAATCTGTCACAAATAACATAACACAGGCACATTATTTTACATCACATATCAGCTTCATCTCCGCTCTGGTCAGGTCTGATACAACTTTTCGGACATTATCTTTTGGACAACATTAGTCATGTGCGATCCGCAGGCAATTTTCTTGTCCAGTTTAGTGTTAATTGTAAATTTGTTAAAGATAAAATCAGATGTTTCTTTAATACGTCCGTTATCGTGGTCTGCATCAAATACTATCTTTCACACTTACCTGACCACCACCATGTCCTTAAGGCTTTGAATGAATGTATCCGAAACAATCCAAACATATCTAGTCAGAGGTTTACTGCATTACATCTTAATAAGGACTCGCTGTTGTTTTAAAGAAGAAAACACATCAAAAACAACAACTTTAAATTTTAGCATGGATTTTCGAGTATTACAATCGTCTATTTTTATCGGATTATTTAACTGCATTTTAGCGTCTAAGGTAAATTTATATTCTCTTCATGATACATAATACATTGTTTATATGTTGTAAATGAAAATATGATAAAAAATATTTTATATTCCTAGTCAACGGGATCAAATGACAGGCATTGTTTGGTTTTTATTGTAAATACTTAAAGATATACAGTAAATATGCTTTAATTTGATATAATTGTTACAATTTTCTTTGGAAATATAAAATAAACATGTTTTTACTTCACACAAAGTAAATAAGTTATGTTTAAATTTATACACACTATAGGTGGCCATTATATGACTATATAGTGTCATTAAGAAAACTGGCAGTTTTTGTAGTTCTGTTTTAACGAAAATATCAACTTCACTTATCCTGTAATAGGGAAAGAAGTTACATGCATGTAGTTTATTTATTCTTTTATTCAAATAAGACATAAATATTAAGTATGATTTCAATAAATTTGTGATTCAAATATTTTACTCAAGGATGAGCAAAGTATATTAACAGCGCTATCTTTAAATAATAAAGATAGTAAACATGCATTTCTATATCAGTGAAAACCAATGTCCTTTTCTGATAGCTAGTATACAATGCTCCGATATATTGCTCAAAGCTTTAAGAAATTTTAAAGAAAACTATTCCATTTTTTGTCATTTTAAGCAAATCGCTGATAGAATGATTATATTTTATCGAAGATATTAAGTAATAAAGAATAAATGGGACATACAAATTATATTTTAGACAAACACAAAATCAGAACGAATACATAGTTTAAAGGAAAAAAATCGTTTACAAAAAGGCTACCTCTATATAAAATATAACTTGTGTTATATATAATTATATATTGTATAAAGATTGCTTACGTTATCCTTCCTGTAAAGCTGTGTGCATTAAGAAGTTATATTTTATTCAGGTTTATGAGTGGCAGAATAATTGGGGTTCAGGCTTGTCGACTAAGGAGTTTGCTCAAATTCATGAACTTGACAAAACTATTACCCACTATGCAACAGATGAAAGCGTCTCGGGAAAAAGTTCCCCGGCTGTCAGCCTTTATGATCTTAACACGAGAGAAGATGATTTTAAAAAGGTACGTAGAATTAGGGAAAATATATTTCATTTGTTTCTGTCTTTGATTTTCTTGGATTTTAAGTATTATCGTCACTGTAAAGATCATATGAAGACTTCCAAGATTTACTACTGAACCAAGGTCTCAGGTTCCCTTTCGTGCATTATTTTAGGCATGTGGGAAAAAGGTCTTACCAGGTAGAGTGTTATAGGCCAGTTGGTAACGTCATTATATGTAGCATGACGTTGACGAAAATATAATTACATGTATACCACTACTTAAAATATTACCTAAAATGATTCCCCGATTCCTAAACAAGCAAGCCGCCAAAACATGAACATATAGAAAATATTCAATAATGTGGCTGATTTGTGCCATGTCGTATTTTCGGAGCAAAAATACAAGTTTGCACAAATCAGCCACCAAAGAAATATGAGAGTTTACATCATTAAGGACACCGCCGTTCATGATACGTGTTCCCCAAAAATCTGATCATTTAATACAGTGTTATTAATAGTTATGAAAATTACAGGGAGTTAGGATGAATAATACATTTAGGAACGCGGGGGTTGCTGGGTAATAGAAGAGATTAAAATAACAAACTTACAGAAATGGTGAAATATATTTACAATTTAAACAAAGGAACCACTACACAAAACATTTACACGATTACAAGACAGTCATTGTTTCTTCTCGTATCTCGTTTTCTTTCTTTTTTACAAAATTCCCAAAAAGGCATATTTATAGAGAGTGTTTCGATAACAAATATGCATGTATAAATACGGGTATTACATTCAACAACGTATTATACTGTACACTTCTTAATATATTATTCTTACTCAAACGGTACAGTTTGATAAGTTTCGACGTAGTTAACATATAGCAATGCAGTAAAGAGTTATTCTCTCACATCTCACAACTCGAATACTAAAATGACACGAAGACGTCTTAATTCGGCCGTCCGATTTGCTCAGCAGGTAGAGCGTTTTCCAGGCTGTGAATCGAGTGACTCGGGTTCGATTCCCGGACGGTGCATGACACATTCTTTGTGATTGATCATAAAATCCGTTCTACGCTCATTCGCACTGTACCTCTGTTCTGGCTTGTACAGGAGTAATCAGTTCCCTGCGAAAGTGAAGGCAACTGGTACTGGTAAACTTATTGACAGCCTGTCCAGGGATGAGGCGGTGGTTAAACTGCGTTTGGTAAATTCAGAGTGGCTTACTACCAATACCACCGCAACCATGTCTTGACTCATCACAATTTACAGTACATGTTGTATTATTTTTAACATAAAAATATAAAGAGTCGTTTTTGTTGCATTATTTTTGTTTTATAATTCAGGGAATACTTGCTATTAGACCACTCGTGGCAAAAGGCAGTCAAGTCTGTTTCATTTCACAAGTGGTAAAATACTGGCCTGGAACCGAAAAAGCTGTAACTAACCGACATGGGGTATGATATTTTGTGCTTATATTATTCAATTTAAGTTTGATACGTACATTATAAAGTAAACACTAAACTATTATTCGCTTAAAGTTTGATTAGTTCATTGTGTAGTAAACACTCCAACAAATATTTTAGAATGTCCTTAACCTACTTCAAGAGTTTTAATCGATCATAGGCGTCGTGATAAGACACCTTTTTTATTGGTTTGAAAAGGTTTCAAGCAGTTTTAAGAATCGACCTATAAGAACCGGCTGCTCGTACAGACTAGTAATATCTAGCTCGATGGTAGGTGTATACAGGGTTTACCGAATTTTCGCTATAAAAAGTTAGCCGAGAGCTAAAGATATTCCAGTCTGTACTGACATACGGTGTTTGAATCTTTTTTTGCATATTATAACCGTGTATATCCAGTAACGCAGGAATGTGTAAATAACGCAGGAATTGTGCTAAAGTAAGGCATAATTGTGCAATTTATTGGCTAAAACGAGCACCGCGATAAGTAAATGTATCAATATTTTGTCTTGATAAGACACCTTTTTTTATTGGTTTGAAAAGGTTTCAGGCAGTTTTAAGATTCGACCTATAAGAACCGGCTGCTCGTACAGACTGGAATATCTAGCTCGATGGTAGGTGTATACGGGGTTTACCGAGTTTCCGCTAAACAGTTAGCCGAGAGCTAAAGATATTCCCGTTTGTACCGACATACGGTGTTTGAATCTTTGTTTGCATATTATAACCGTGTGTATCCAGTAACGCAGGAATGTGTAAATAACGCAGGAATTGTGCTATGTAACGCATAATTGTGCAATTTATTGGCTAAAACGAGCACCGGGATAAGTAAATGTATCAATATTTTTTGTGCACCAAATGAGAAGAAATGAAGCGCATACAGTTGCTAAGACATTTTACTTTGAACCTCATTAAAATATTTCCATGAAAATGTTTATTTTTCATTCGTATATGTGTATGTATAAATACAATAACGTATATATTACTTTATGATTTTTTTTATATTCCGTGTACCTGAAATACTTTCCAATCTATTCGTGTCATGTTACACAGAATTTAGCAGATAAAACGTAATTGAGACCTTTTTTACGAGGTAACGCTGAATGAAGCACTGAAGT